TCCAGTCCCACTCACCGCACAGCCCTTCCCGCTGCCCTGGTCCCCGAGGCAGCCGCCGTTGTCATTGTGAATCCCGATGAGCACTGCAGCTGGAATGAGGACCTGGGATGGGGCACACAAAGCACACTGCTGCTTTCATTGCACAGAGAAAACACAGCCCTCCAATTGCATTCCCTGATGTCCTGCTTGGCTGCCAGCCTGTGCAGGTGATTCAGCTTTACTCTCTTTAACCCATCCCCAACCCCAGCACGGGAGTATTTCCATTGCCACTTTGTGGGTACATTCAGCACAGAAAGAGACTGCTGAGGTATTGCTACGTTTAAAGTATTTCAGCTTTAAAAGTTTTTGTTCACAATTATTAAGGCTGTATCTTTCAAATAAAAGGCTTTGCAAAAAGAGGAATTAACTTTATTCCAATGAGGACTAAAAGGAATTAATTTTTAAAAACAGCTACTGCCAATATACTGGTTTCTTAAGAGCAATCAACACTGCCTGTGTGACAAACCAGTCTGACTGGGGTAAAAAGTCTGGGAACGTTTTGCTCAATTCAAACATCTCATGACAYACATCTACCTTTTTCCAAGATTTCACAACCTGTTTCCAGTGACAGAAACGGAAAGCAGAAGCTATCTGCAAGAAACAGAAACCATCCATACTCCAGAGATTTTAGCACAAAATCAAGGATGACTGGAGCTGATTAAAAAGAGGATCCTCCCACCAGCAATAACAGCATTAAACAATGTACACTTACAAAGGCTACACCCAGGACTACTCTGGAAAACCATAAAGAAACAGTAGATTGCTATTATTCAAATGCAATGCTTGGACAAGTACCACTCAACTGCTCTGAATAAATACCTGAGGCAGAGAAATAACTGTCAACATGTCAGATAATAGAAATTAAGGAATTGTATCTAAATGCTAGTTATTTAGGGACATTTAAGAGGAGAATGGCTCAATAATACAACACAAATTTAAGACTGAACCCTTTATGCCAACTGTGACCTGCTGAGAGGCTTCACTTTTGGATTTGGATTCTGTGCACTAGACCCCATAACTTTTTCTGCCTCAAAGTTCCACAGTGTTGCAGATAAGAGAACCAGTAGTAATTAACAATAACTATGGGATAATACAGCTTTTTTTTTTTTTTTTTTTTTTTTTTTTTTTTTTTTAATTCAACTCCAGAGATTCCAGCTGACAAGATATTTGATGAACAAATTAGTAGAGAAAGACAGTACCAAGTACCTCCAGAATAAACCTGAAGGAAGACATGAGGTTCTTACTTACCAGAATGCCTCCACCTACAATGCCATGAAGGCATTCCACGTATTTGCTGAGGTGATGCTCTGAAGCAAATCTCGTTTCTCCATTGGGAAAATACAGTAAAGTGTTTGCCACGATGCAGAGGAGGGCAAGGACGAGCAGTTTATAACCAACACACCTAGCACAGCTCCCAAAACACATATTGGCAGCTTTGGAAATCCTCCACCTGCCAGCCCAGCTAAAAGAGATCAGCGTTTCTTCTCAGCTCCTTAAATAGCAGAGCTTCCCTGGCTCCTGGGTGACGTTTYTCATTCTTCCCAACCACCATTCCCAATTGCAGAGTGAGAGCAGGGATGGCCCAACGCCCTTTTGAAATGCAATAATTGCAGAGGAACCCAATGCAATGGAGGAAACACTGAACACCATTTCAGTCTAATTTATGATGCTTGGAATAATCACTGCTGAACACGATTAGATGGGAACCACGAGCTCAAACCACAACTTAAGTTCTGTTGGGAACTGAAGGAAAATATTTTGTTTTCTTTGTTAGAAGCACCTTTGAATTTTAGGTTTATAGACTGAATCAGAACAASCTGAAGCCGGGAAAGACTTGGATGACTCCAACAATTCTGAGTCATAGTTTTGGGTATAAACGGAATAAGGTCTGCAGCAACGAGGAGGAGAATGTGGAGCAACCTCTCACTTTGCTGTCCTGTTGACTGAACAAGAGAAAACGTCACGAGGAGGTTGGAAAACAAATAAAATGAACAGGTAGGTTTCTTAGGAGTGTCCTTGTTCTTGCCGTTTAGACAAACTGAATTTCGATTAACAGCAATTTAGTAAATATTTTAGTAACAGCTAAACCAAGAAAACACGGGTGAAAAATACTGCTTCGGGAAAAAAGAAAAAAAAAAAAAAAAAAAAAAAAAAAAAAAAAAAAAAAAAAAAAAAAAAAAAAAAAAAAAGAGAAATACCTGAAATATCGTGTATAGAAACACACAGAAAAGGAAAAATGCCAAGACAGAAACAGATTGTTTCCAAGATTTCCAAATGTTACACGTACCAGTCCCACAGTAAATGGAGATACAAAGCTACCTATAGAAATTAAGATTCATGAATATAATGGATATTAGCAGAATATAATGGATATCAGCAGAATATAATGGATATCAGCAGAATATAATGGATATYAGCAGAATATAATGAGACTTTTTWAAAAACACTCATTCAGGTCTCTTTTTTTGAAGGTGGGGTGGGGTGTGCTTAATAGTTAAGTAACACATTAATAGTTAAATAACACATTAATAGTTAAATAACACATTAACAGTTAAAAAACACATGAAACACAAGTAAAATCTGTTCTATCCTTGCAAAAGCTGTGAGCAGCACTGAGGCTGAGAAATTGTGTGCAAAAAGAAGGGAGGGGAGAGGGGGAAGTGGGGGAAGAGAGCAGTCTGACACAGCTGTGGCTTTGTGATGTAACTTCTCCGGGTATTGTAGCTCCTGACCTTGGAGATTTCCTTCGTTAKGAGGAATATCCTCCAATTGTGGAAACACAGCCTGGCCATTCCTGTGTGCTTCACCTCCAGTGACTAAAATAACCACAAACGTTCTCCTGCAGAACAAGAGGGACACTCGACTGAAATCTTCCTTTCTTGTGCTGGGCTGAAAAGCCCCAAGAGCTCCTTCCCCAAATGCCACCACCCACCTCAACAACCACACCAACATGTCACCGGTGGGACATGCATTTAAAACCCTACCCTAACGAAAGATTTGAAAACTGTTCTATTTACAACTTCAATAACGCTTTTTTTCTTTTACTGTTTGGGCACTAGAACAGGCATGGGCTGCACCATTCATTTTGAAAGACTGAGTAATGCAAGATGTGCATTTACACAGGTTCTGAATTCCCACTTGTATTGTCTTGTAAGTTTTTATCATTTGTTATTTTGGTGTTTAATAGCTTGCTGCTCGTGGAGGGCAATTCCAGCTCAGACAAATGAAAACATTGGGAATGTGCAGTTTCCTGCTGGCTCTGGGTCTGCTGTGCAAACACAGCTCTGGGTGACCTCAGGAGGCTCAAACTCCCTCTGACCCATCCATTTCTCAATGTCCACATGATTTCCATCCACAAAAACACTGTCCCATAGCTGTCCCTGTCCCCACAGCCTCTAAAAGCACATTGGGTGATGGATGGACTGACAGTCACCAAATTATTTTGTTTGTCACCAAGTCCTTGGTACCCGTGATCTCCTGGCCACAGACAGAGGAAAGYCTCCAGATTATTTTCATTAAATCCCAGCTCCTCAGATGGATGAATGAACTATTTCTGAGCACAAGCTGTTCCATGAGAGCCACTGTTCCCATCAGAGCTGTAACACACATGTCCTTGGTGCCCATGCTCTCCTGGCCACAGACAGAGGAAAGCCTCCAGATTATTTTCATTAAATCCCAGCTCCTCAGATGGATGAATGAACTATTTCTGAGCGTGTTCCATGAGAGCCACTGCTCCTCACACATCTGTAACACACATACCCACATCTGATCACGGTCTCTGCCACCACTCTGGGACAGAAAACTCCTCTGAGCCACAGAAATCACCCTGGAGTGGTGCTCACACTTGTATTTAAYAACTCACATTGACACATGCAGAGAAGGTGTAATTTATGAGTAATAATGCCGACCTGAGGAGGAGTCGGTKGCAATGCAACAAAAGCAGTTTTGCMTTTTAACCAACCCATTYAGGGACACAAAAGCTTCCAATCRGGGCAGAGCCASCGCTAAATGAGTGTACARAATTCCTCTCTTTAAGGAAGAACCCATAAACCTTCCTTAAGAGCAGCTGTTATTGACCCTGGACTTGCAATGCTGCAATCAAACAAACCACTTCAAAAACTGTTTTCTGGTGACATACAAAAACCACGGTGTAGCCCRCATTCCTTAATTCTTGCAGCATTGTTATGATGACAGAAGTAGGACATGGCACAAACAAATTCTTTTTTTTATTTCTGCAGCAGCCTATGGCTCAGGCCTTGGCTCTGCAAAACAGCCAGCAAAAGTTTGATTCCCTCGGATTGTATTATTACGCACAGGTTTGCATTTCTGATTTCTGCTCGATCCATTTAACTGTATACACTCAATGCACCGAATCTTTGGTACCAGATGGTCCTTAAAAGGGCTGTCAATCATAAACCAACTATTTCATGCTCATGTTCCTCCAAGGGGTACATCAAAACCTCAAAAATGCTCTACAAAAGTACCACACATTTTTAGGACAACCCCCAAAACATTATTAAAAAAATATTTCAAAAACCATGATTAAAGAATAAATCACGGTACAAAAGATCCCTTTTTGTCTAAGCAATATTTAAGAGAGATCCTCTGCTCAGAGGGTGACACAGAATAATTCTGGAATKCTCAGAGGAATTCTGGAATTCTCAGAGGAATTCTGGAATKCTCAGAGGAATTCCACCAGCTCCCTCTAGTGATAATGAGACTGAGCCCAAATCCATTCTGCTCTCAGTGTTCCTCTGCCTCCAGGGACCTTCCACAGCAGCACTGAAATCCCTGAAATCCTTGAAATACCCGAAATCCCTGAAATACCAGAAATACCTGAAATACCCGAAATACCTGAAATCCCTGAAATCCATGAAATACCTGAAATCCCTGAAATACCAGAAATCCCTGAAGTACCAGAAATACCTGAAATCTCCAGGTGAGAGGCATCTGCCTTTGGTGGAAAATGGAACGCTCAGAAACAGCTCCTGGTGGCACAGGAGCCCGGCAAAAAACACTTTTACAGGAGCAGAAACTAAACTCAGGCATTGTGCCCACCGAGTCAAAGCTTGAGAATTTGACAGGACAGAATTCGGTTCACATTTTGGTTCAGGTTCTCCAATAGAGAGTTCTTCCAAGAACAGACTTATCAATGGAAAGTTAAAAAACCAAAATAAACGTTCTTCTTTTACAGATCTACACAGCAGAAAAGCAGTCCTGCTCTGGGCTCTCCATAAAGACAAAGGAAACAAAACAAAGTGTCCATTAAAAATGAGGAGAAAATCCCTCAGAAAATGAAAACACCAGAGCCCTTCCCCAGGGTCTGTGCTAAATCAGGGGGCATTTCCCTCCCTAAAGGCAGCCCCAGTCTTTGAGGAAACTGCAGCCACCTCAACAACAGTCCTTGCCTGCCAGGAAAATCATCCTGAGCTGTTTTGTGTCACTCCCCATCACTCCCAGCATTCTGAACAGTCACACTTGGTTCTAAGACACAGGGCTTCCTAAAGGAGCACTTCTTAGAGGAAAATTGAGACGTGTCCTGTGGAACCATTGCAATTACAAAGCCGTGACATCATTCTTCCTATGCTTTGTGAGTGGTTGCTGATTAATCCAGCCAGTGATTAATGTGCAATGAATATAAAAAKATTATCACAACAGATATTAGCTTCCATCCCATTTCCCTTACCATTTTTTATTATTTTAATTATTAAACTCTTCTTATCTCAAGCTATCAGTTTTCYCTCTCTGAACCCTCCAAGTGTCTCCCATCTCATCGAGAGCAGAGTGAGCAAACTGCTCTGTGGGGCTGAGCTGCCAAACCCCAAATGTGCACACAGAATGTTGTACATAACATTAACAGCAAAGTCCCAGTCAAGTTCACCATTAGCAACTCTGTCTTGATAACACCAGGATCATGAATGAATGAATGAATGGATGAATGTTGCCAAGACAGAATCGGGATTTTCATTATTTAAGAGTATAAAACTGAAATCCTGTTCTACTTTTGCACCAAGAAAGCTTTCGTGCGAAACAAAAAGGAGCTCCTTTAGTCAGGCAGATCCTAACATTAACAGAAAATATATAAAAAAAAAATTAAGTATCATATCCTGTCTGAGGAGCACAGTTTGGACTCTCTGACCATCTTTTCAAGAAGTCCTCACCAGCACTGGAAAGTTTTGTTTTGTTGGAAAGAATTTCCTCACTGTGCTCAAAGTCCTCCTCATCCTTCTGGGAYCCCTCCTCTCCCAAAGCCACAAAGCTGAGCCTGAGCAGAGAGCAGCTCAGGGATCCACCAGAGTAAATTCATTCATCTCAGTTCCAATGGCAATGGATTTTCAGGCCCAGGTTTCCTGCTGCTTGAAATGCAGAAAATAAAACTTGGCACTCATCAAAGTTCTGTCCCAGTTAAAAATTAACTACTGTTTACCTACAGGACAAAACCTACCCCGTATTGTAAAGTGGAAGCAGAGGATATATTC